TGTTAATAAACAAATTCTCTAAGTCTATCCAGTAAGTGGTCCTTGTCAGCACTTCCAACTTCTATTCTAAAACAGGTTCCAAAATGCAGCTGAGTCTCTCTATATTCTTGGACTAGATCAGCTGTCCCTGATAGAATACACCACCATTCACAGAAAAAAAATGAAGTACATAATACACCTCTCACCTTCACAATATGTTAACTACACAACTGTTTTCATTCTCTAGTTCCTAAAGTTAACCATGTGACAAATTAGAAGCCAAAAAGAACAATTTTGGTAGTGAGAACTACTAATGCAAACATCATATTCTGAATTTCCAGTCCTCAGCTGAGATAATAAATAACATTTTGTTCAATAGAGTGTTTGTGGAATTGTTACATGCACAGAAAAAGCCCTTTTTCCTACTCACCTCCTGGAGGCCTGACAATTGTTACAGCATCACTTATCAAGCTGCCCTGGCTGTTGGATGCATTCACTTGCACTGTGTAGTGAGAAAATGGAATCAGGCCTTCAATGGGTACCCATATATTGAATTCCTTGCTGCTGCAGAACATCCAAGTATCATTTACCACAGAATAATGTGCTTTATCTGTCATGAAAAAAAACAAGAAAGGGAAGAGAAGAACAAATGTTAGACCTTGTGTCTGCTACATTCACTGTCTTTAAGAACTAAGTCTTATTCCTACTCAAAAGAAGACTTGCTGTTTATACCAATAACACACACACACACATGAAATTTTGGCTATTGGGGAGAAAAAATATTATTCATCATTTCTCCTGCTTTTGGCAACAGTTTATGGTACTTGTAAATCTTGGAAAAAAACCAAACCAATCCCTGAAGCAATCCTGCAGTTGCAGAGCTGACTGCTCCATACTGCAAACAGGAGCCAGTTCTCAGAAATTACTGATCTTCTAGAAAAGTTGTGGGATAACTGCAAATTCCAAACGTTAGTGTTAATTCTTGTGCCTATGATACACTGGTAAAAATTTCTGAATTCACCAAAAAAATGCTTACCTTAGGGGTTTATAAGCTAACTCATTGCATACAGCAGAAAAGGTCACCTCCAGTAACACCTGCTTTCCAGCATGGCCTGCAGTCCCCTGAAAGGTATGCCAAATTCATGAGAAAATTAAACTTTTTCTATCTACAGCACAGTTTTAACATGTTAGTATTTTTATTTTCATCCACCTGAACCTGGAAGGAAAACATGTGTTTCCTCTGATGATATTTTTATTCAATTATTAATCTTTCTTCCAATGGCTAACTATACTAGATTTTAAAAAGACCGTTTTGAGTAATATAATGTGAATTAAAAGGATAACACTCTATTCTAAGTTGCCTGGATAACAACATTAATATACAGTAATTATACAATTAGTTTTAACATTAAATTCTAGTTATAGCAGAGTGATTACTCAGCAATTATAAGAAGTATATAATTACTCAATAATTAGGAGAAGTATGTAATTACATCACCATTTGATTCAGCTCAAAAAAGAACTGGCAAATTTACAATGAGATTGACAACACAGCAGCTCAACATTTTTCATTGCTTCTAATAAAAAGCCATGGATGACTTGCAAGTTTCCTAACCTAAATTTTACACAGACCAAAGGTGTTTTTATCCCTCTTCCCAGCCAAGCAACTTACTGCTGCTGGCAAGGAAAATGTTAGAACATTTTTAAAATGCAGGTCTTGCTGGGGCTGAGTTGCAATTTGCAGCTTTGCCACTTCTCACTGCTTCACCTCAGCTTTCAGTGGGCTGGAAAATGCAGACCCAGAGATTCAGCCTGACAGACAGTGACACAGTGATAACCCTGTCACATCATTCCATGCCATTCCTGCCCAGCCTGCCCCACTGGGGACCCAATTGGTGAGGAGAAGTGGATGAGGCCTCTCTTTTTCCATTTTTCATGAGTGTTTTCCTCTCCATCCTGCTCACAGATCCTACTGTAGCCTACCAGCAAGTCTGCTGCAGATCTAAACAGCAGGTGCCTCAGGTATCAGGAAAGTCCTAAAAGACATTGTTTCCTTCAGACAAGTGGTTTGTACCAGAGCACCTCCTTGTTCCTGCACTCGGCCTTGTCATTGCTGCCAGGAACAGACACCAGCACTCCAACAAGCAAGGTCTCTGCACAACACAGGAACAACCTAAAGAGGCAGGAAACAAACTCCTAGATCTGGTTCACCATGTCCTTCAACATTTAAGCCATTGCAAACAACTGTACCAAAAGTTGAATTGGAAGGGGAGGAGGCTCAGAGCCACCATGTCCTGTAAGCTGTTAAAAAAGACTAAACCCTTTGCAGACGTGAAGGGCTTCCCAAAGCTCCTTCATCTTTCCATAGTTTTGCATCTGATGGTTTTGTTCTTTTACTGAGCCTTCCTGCTCAGCTCTCCACAGCTCCCATAAAATATCTGAGGGCCCCCTTTCCCTAAGCCTGCTATTTGAGGAAAAACCTCACAAAAACTGTTCCCAGTTTATTTGTCGTTTATAGCAGATCAAAGGATCTCAGTTTTTCAGGAAAAGATCCAAATGAAGAAACTAGGGCTAAAGAATATCCATATCCACACTTAAAACTTGTGGTGGGCTGGGGGCGGAGAGCGGTACCTGTCTTGGAACAAAGCCTTGGAAATCTTTTATCCATACACGGGATGACTGGAACCATCACTTACATCAGGGTTATCTCTACGTGCTGTCTTTATGTCCTCTGACATCTAATGCCTGGTTTCTAAAACAAGGGGTTGCACTTTTTAAAGGTGCAAGAAACACTAAATTCAGCGCTCACAGTTGAATAAATAACACTACAATAAATACATCAGAAAAGCATCGATTTTAAGTCCTGAAAACCAGAAAAGGGACTTTCCACATGGGTGTCCTGTCATTCATAACTATAAGGGAAGAATTCAATAGAATAAAGAAGTCTATAAGTGTTCTGTCCAAGATCCAGGTGAGATTCTCTATCTTCTAACATTTCACTGATCTAGGAAGCAAGACTTTGGCACAGAATTAATACTGGAGAAAAATGAGACCAGTGAAAGATCCTGAGCTCAGGAGAACCTGACTGTGCTGGGGAATCAGAGCTCTCACCCTGGGAAATGAACTGCTCTGAAAGAGTGGGAAGAAACCAGGAACAAAGGCTGAGTTCAAATGCTCCAGAGTCAACAACTCCTTCCTCACCAAAAGGTCTGAGCTCCCCTTAACTCATCTTTAGCCATCCATGGAAATAAAACAGCCTGACCTTGAACTCAAGGGAAACAAAGACAAATTCCACGGTTTTAGCTGGAGCAAGGTTGAGGGGGAATATGTCACTCCTGTATGGCATCACATGCTCCCTGTGACATCACATCTTTCCTGTGACATCACACCTACCTTATGACATCACATCCTCCCTGTGACACCACATCTCCCCTATGATGTCATGTCCTCCCCTGTGACATAACATCCTCTGCAGGACATCACATCCTTGTTGTGATATCAAGGCTCGTCTCAGATGTCACATCCATTATATGACATCACATCTCTCCTGTGATACCATATAATCCCTGTGACATCACAGTTCCCCTGTGACATCACATCCTTCCTGTGACATCACATCCTTCCTGTGACATCACATCTCCTCTATTATGTCACATCCATCAAATGACATCACAGCTCCCCTGTGACATCACAGCCTCCCCTGTGATGACACAATCGTCATATGACATCACATTTCCTGTGACATCACATCCTTCCTGTGACACCACATCTTTCCTGTGATATCATATCATCCCTCTGACATCTCATGCTCGCCCGTGACATCACATCCTCCCTGTGACATCACATCTCCTCTGTGACACCACATCCTCTCTGTGACATCATGTCCTCCCCTGTGACATCCCACCCTTCCTGTGACATCACATCCTCCCCTATGATTTCACAACTATCATATAACTTCATACCTCCACATGACATCACAGCTCCTCTATGACATCACATCTTTCCTGTGACATCACATCTCTCCTGTGATATTGTATCATCCCTGTGATGTCATATCCTGCCCTGTGACATCATATCATCCCTGTGTCATCAACGCTGCCCGATGATGTCACATCCATCATATGACAACACACCTCTCCTGAGATATCATATCCTCCCTGTGACATCATCGCCTGCCCTGTGACATCACATGCTTCCTGTGACATCACAGTTCCCCTATGACATCACAACCTTCCTGTGACATCACATCTCCCCTATGACATCACAACCACAATATGACATAACATCTCTCTTGTGATGTCACATCCAGCATATGACATCACATCCTTCCTGACACATCACACCTGCCCTGTGACATCACATCATTCATGTGACATCACACTTCCCCTATGACATCATAGCCATCATATGACATCACATCTCCCCTATGACATCACACCTACCTTGTGAAATCACATCGTTCCTGTGACATCACATCCTCCTTGTGACATCAGAAATCCTCTATGACGTCACACTCTTCCTGTGACATCACATCTCCCCTATGACGTCACATCATATTCTGTGATAAAGCAGGACCAAATGAAATCAATGGAATTCTGGGACACTGTCCAACCTCTTGGAATCAAGGGTTCCTGCTGACGTGTGTGTCCTCCTGGAACCAAGGGAGCCCGGAGATATTTCTGAACCTCCCAGAATCCAGGGGCCATTGGGACCCTGCAGAACCTCCTGCATTCAAGTGGTCCTTGTGAAACTGCAGGCTCTCCTGGAACCCAAGGATTCCTGGAACACTGCAGAGCTCACGGAACCAAGGGGTCACTGTCCCACTGCAGCTCCTTCTGAAGCACAAGAGACCCTGGGACAATGGGAAATCTTCAAGAATCCAAAGGGGATTTTGGGACTGCAGGGCCTCATGGAACAAAAGGAACGTTTGGAGACTGTGGAAGCTCATGGAATCAAGGGGCCACTGGGATATGCGGGGCCTCCTTGAACCAAAGGATTCCTGAGACATTTTGGAGCCCCATGGAATCCAGGGTCCACTGTGACAGGTGGGGCCTCCTGGACGCAAAGGAACCCTGGGAATTTTTGTGGGAACAAGTTAAGGGAGCAGCAGCTGCATTCAGCTGATGTGGATCAACAAGGAGGTTTTTGGCCTTGACTGGTGTTTTCCATCCAGAGAGTGCTGTTTGCCAAAGTGGAAACCCACTTGGAACGCTCTGCATGGTAGCCTGTGTTTTTCTCTGGTGGCTGAACACAGCCAGCACATGAGGGGAGGGGAATGTGTGGGATCAGGGCACTGCTTTGGGGCCATGCTGGGAATTCTGGTGGACTAAAAGACAAACATCAGGTGCTGATCCCAAGAGAAGAAGAATAAAAGGGGACATGGAAAAGTGTTGGTGGAAAAGTCCTGCAATGGAACTCTATGTGTGCAGCCTCATTTTCTCCTTCAGCGCCCACAGGAGAGAGGGCAAAAAGTGGGGGTTGGGACCCCTAAACTGTTCGGTAGGAAATTGGGGATTGAGGGGAGAGTAGGAAAGTGGGAGGAACAGGGAGAAGGGTGGAAAAGGGAGGGTGGTCTGGCAAGTCTGATTGTCCCATGGGGGTCTTTGGGCACAGGGGACTTGGAAAGGGGGGTGGCCCCCCTGAGCTCCCAACTTCCTGTGGGGTGCTGGGGGCTGCTGGATCCAATCTCAGCCTTGGATCATGCCAACAGTTTCAGTTTAGAGGAATTACAGAAGTGTGACTGAATCACTTTGGTCCCCCAGGCTTTAAGGATAGCAAATTAGATCTATTGATAGAAATTAATTATTTAGGGATACAAATGATCAGACAAAAGATCTTCATCAGAATTATTTACTGCACAATACAAACACTAAAACTACCAGGAGTACAGGATAAGATAGGACAGTGTTCTACCCTAAAGAAATTGTTGAAGCAATTCTGCTCAAGCTGGCACAAAAGCAATAATTCTTAATTAGAGATGGATGGAACTCCCCCAGACCAACGCTCATGGGGAGATCTCTGCTCTCAACCTCCAGCACTGACCTTGGGGGGTCCCCAGCCAAGGCAGGAATCTCCACACACACCCCCAAGAAGGGTTCTGTTGGAAGAAGATGCGCCTGTGAAAGGGGACTGGCCGTTTCTGGTGAAAAGGGATGGACTGAGAGTCACTGGACTCCAGGGGTTGCCTCACCATCAGGGGGTTCATTCAGGATGGAAGCAGTGGCCGAAACTCTTCCTGCAGTCGGGGCAGTGGTAGGGCTTTTCCTTACTGGTGCGTCCGTTGGTGTGAGGTCAAGTGACAGCGCTGGTTGAAGCTCTTCCCACACTCCCCACACTTGTAGGGCCTCTCCCCGCTGTGGATGCGCCGGTGGGTGACTAGGTTGGAGTTCCGCTTGAATCCCTTCCCGCAGTCCATGCAGCGGAAGGGCCTCTCATCCGTGTGTGTCTGCTTGTGCACGAGGAGATCTGACCTGGTGCGAAACCTCTTCTCACATTCCAAGCACTTGTAGGGCCGTTCCCCAGTGTGGATGCTCTGGTGTTGGATCAAGTTGGAGTTGCTCCTGAAGCTCTTCCCACATTGCCCACACGTGTAGGGCCGTTCCCCAGTGTGGGTGCGCTGGTGTTGGATCAGAGTGAAACTGTCCCTGAAGCTCTTCCCACATTCCCCACAAGGGTGTGGATATTCTCCAGTGTGGATGCGCTGGTGTCGCAGCAGAGTGGAGTTGTCACTGAAGCTCTTTCCACACTCCCCACACGTGTAGGGACGTGCCCCAGTGTGGATGTGATGGTGTCGGATCAGGTCTGTCCTCTGGCTGAAGCTCTTCCCACATTCCAAGCACCTGAAGGGCTTCTTTCTAGTGGGAGGTTGCCTTGGGACCACGACCTTGGAGTTCCTGCTCAAGCTCCGGCTGCCTTCCCGGCACAGGCTGGCTCTTTCCTCCTCAGAGCACCCTGGGATGGCTTTGGAGCCCCTCCTGGGGGGGGATCTCCGGCTCTTTTCCTCCCCGCTGCCTTCCTGTGCCGGGGAG